AGTATCTAGTCTAGTAACGACGCCCAAACTTCAAAAATCTGCTTTTTAATTAGAAATTCATAAAATTATTACGTTTACCCAATCCTAGCCTAAATAACTGAACCAATTTTTATGCTTTTATTGTAGAGATCGATATTACCTGGAAAGACACATTATTTTGTTGTAAAAGACTATTTCAGCGGGATTTTGCTTGAATTGGAATGTAATCTTGAAAATAAGTAAAGTTTGATACATAACACTATCGTGACTACTTTCGATATGTTGCGATATGAAAGCTCGGAATCGTGCGCCCGCGCAGCGTCTTTTGATCGCGCGCCAAACCGCCAGCTATTATCTGCATCGAACAACAAACATTATTGAAGTTATTAACTATGCAATACATCAGCTGGAAACAACAGCTCGAATGAAACATGTTTTTTAAATTTGAATTTACGAGTAGGCTGTTTTATTTCGACGATAAATTAGCGTTGCACGGATTTATCGGGGGTCTTATCTGTCATCATATCTACTTGTTTCTGCTCATTGATGGTAAAGTTTTGGTCGCGTAAGAAATAGGGACAAATATAGGTACGGATATTCATAATACTAGTATTATATTATCTGTGATAATACTTATGAATTGCAATAAACATTTTTTTCTATTCGTAAAAAACTTTATGGGGCATCTTCCGAACTCGGTCAATATCACAGGGAGATTCTCGTCGTATCACCAAATTTTAGTTCAAAATTTTGATTCTCTAAAATCAAAAATCAAAATCTAAAATATTTATTCAGTTTAGACCACAAGTGGCACTTATGAACGTCAAATATAAAAAAAGAAAAGAAAAGGTAGCCCTTATGGGGCACTTGACATGTCTCCTTTTGGGCCCTACCAGCCCAGCCCTACCCTCTATGATATCTATCAAGAACAAGAACCCAACCATTCTTTAATGTTTCCTTGTGCTAGAATGATTGTCTCTTGCAGGTGCTGTTCGTGTCGATCCTGCAGATCATCTCGACGCTGGTGTACATGGTGTACGTGGGCGAGTTCTCCAACATCATCCAGTTCCAGTCCTTCAGGTCCTTCAGCTTCTACTGCAAATATCTGGAGCTGCAAGTATGTTCTGTTGTTTGTATCTTCTGCACGCACACTCTTTCTACCTACCTCATAAAAACTAATATCTTAGTTTTTGATGAACTGTTTAGAGTTTAAGAAGAGAATCTACTCTTCTCTAGGCCCCACAGATAGGGTTGCCAGGTCCAAAATCACAAAAGCCGGACTTTGTGTTTCATTTGGCCGGACATTTTACCCTAAAAGCCGGACATGTAACGGGGGGGGGGGGTGCAACTAGTGTCAGCTCATAAGTGAGTACTATCATCATCAGTTGCTAACCAACATCCTGATGCGTGCGCTTCAATGATTCTGTGGCTTGACTTTCGCCTGGCGCGGCAACAAAATAAAAAGCCTAACAAAAGCCGGACAGGCCGGACAAGGCAATATTTGGCCGGACAAGACCCTAAAAAGCCAAACATGTCCGGCTAAAGCCGGACGCCTGGCAACCCTACCCACAGAGCTGCCACCAGGTTTTCCGATACATAAAAGGGACGCCACTGAATGCAAGCAGACCTCCTTGAACCGCTGGTGCGCTTAACACGAAGGGTTATGTCCATTAGTGGACTTCAATAAACTGCATCGATTCCAGGAGTTCCTGAAAAACAATCGCGTGTCCAAGAACCTGGTGACGGTGGTGAACCGGTACACGCTGCACCTGTGGCAGGAGGCGCGCGGCGTGCAGGTGCCGCACTTCCTGCAGGCCGCGCCGCAGGGGCTCAAGCTGCGCGTCATGTCTGCTGCCTACATGCACCATCTGAAGGAGGTACGTACAGAGCAATATTGTCATCTTCTTCTTCTTCTTCGTTGCTACACTCTTGCCGGAGTGGTCGTGGTCGTCACACCAGGTCCGGTGGCAAGTCTCACAATCCGTTGCCATTCCTCCCGCACTGCAGCCTTTCTTGTGCACTCGTGGAGTGGACCATTGAGTGCGGTTTTGATCTGGTCAGTCCAGCGTATTGGCGACCTGCCGCGCGCTCTTGTGCCCTCAACCTTCCCCTGCACGACAAGTCGTTCAACAGAAGCGACGTCTCCACGTGTTATATGGCCAAAGAAAGTGAGTATACGACTTTGGACGATGGAAGAAAGACGCTGTTTGACATCAAGCTCTTGGATGATCGAGACGTTGGTTCGGAACTGTGTCCAGGTTATGCCAAGCATCCTTCTCCAGCACCACATCTCTAGGGCGTCTATCTTCTTCTTCTCACTTTCTCTCAGAGTCCACGTCTCAGCACCGTAAAGAAATATGGGAAACACTGTGTCATCTTAGTACGTGGAATAAGGGCGACTGGTGATAAGTGGCAGGAGGCGCGCGGCGTGCAGGTCGGCTGCCTACATGCACCATCTGAAGGAGGTACGTACAGAGCAATATGTGTCATCTTTGTATTAGGAATAAGAGCAACTTTGCTAGAAAACAACCGCGCGTCCAAGCACCTGGTGCCGCACTTCCTGCAGGCCGCGCCGCAGGGGCTCAAGCTGCGCGTCATGTCTGCTGCCTACATGCACCATCTGAAGGAGGCACGGGCAGAGTAATATGTGCCGTCTTAGTATTAGGAATAAGAGCAACTTTGCTAGAAAACAACCGCGCGTCCAAGCACCTGGTGCCGCACTTCTTGCAGGCCGCGCCGCAGGGGCTCAAGCTGCGCGTCATGTCTGCGGCCTACATGCATCATCTGAAGGAGGTACGGGCAGAGCAATATTATGTGTCATCTTAGTATGTGGAATAAGGGCGACTTTGCTACAAGAACCTGGTGACGGTAGTGAACCGCTACCGATACACGCTGCACTTCCTGCAGGCCGCGCCGCAGGGTCTCAAGCTGCGCGTCATGTCTGCTGCCTACATGCACCATCTGAAGGAGGTACGTACAGAGCAATATTGTCATCTTCTTCTTCTTCTTCGTTGCTACACTCTTGCCAGAGTGGTCGTGGTCGTCACACCGGGTCCGGTGGCAAGTCTCACAATCCGTCGCCATTCCTCCCGCACTGCAGCCTTTCTTGTGCACTCGTGGAGTGGACCATTGAGTGCGGTTTTGATCTGGTCAGTCCAGCGCATTGGCGACCTGCCGCGCGCTCTTGTGCCCTCAACCTTCCCCTGCACGACAAGTCGTTCAACAGAAGCGACGTCTCCACGTGTTATATCGCCAAAGAAAGTGAGTATACGACTTTGGACGATGGAAGAAAGACGCTGACATCAAGCTCTTGGATGATCGAGACGTTGGTTCGGAACTGTGTCCAGGTTATGACAAGCATCCTTTTCCAGCACCACATCTCTAGGGCGTCGTATCTTCTTCTTCTCACTTTCTCTCAGAGTCCACGTCTCAGCACCGTAAAGAAATATGGGAAACACTGTGTCATCTTAGTACGTGGAATAAGGGCGACTGGTGATAAGTGGCAGGAGGCGCGCGGCGTGCAGGTCGGCTGCCTACATGCACCATCTGAAGGAGGTACGTACAGAGCAATATGTGTCATCTTTGTATTAGGAATAAGAGCAACTTTGCTAGAAAACAACCGCGCGTCCAAGCACCTGGTGCCGTACTTGCTGCAGGCCGCGCCGCAGGGGCTCAAGCTGCGCGTCATGTCTGCGGCCTACATGCATCATCTGAAGGAGGTACGTACAGACCAATATATGTCATCTTAGTATGTGGAATAAGGGCGACTTTGCTACAAGAACCTGGTGACTGCGCGTCATGACCGCGGCCTATACACGTGCACCATCATAAATAAGGAGGTACGTATGACGTGTTACAGCACGTTAAGGTGTGTCATATCATCATAAGAGACGTCTGGACACTGCAGCACTGGCTCAGTTGTGCATCATACTCTGTATTAACTACAACCCGTGCTATGATTACTTTAATAGGTGCAGTAGGCATATCATCTTATCTGTTAGAAAAATACCGTGATACTTACTTTTAAGTGTCAACGTACCATTCCAAGAGCATAATAATATCTTACTGACGGGATCATATACAGGGTGTCCCGTAATGTAACGTCAAGCCGGAACTGGGTGTTGAGGCAAGTTATGCTGGTTATCAGAAAAATATAAAAAAAAATATATGTGGCNTCCTTAAGAGCAAAATGACGATTTGTAAGAACTATTTATTAGTCCAAACAAATAAAGAAATTTTGACTTTTGACTTTTTTTTTTTTAATAATAAAAACACAGAATGTACTTTTTTAAGTTGCCTCAAGGCACTCAGAGATAAATATGTAGTTAATATTATTCATGATAATTAATGCTAAATCATGTATTTCCTCCGCCATTTTCCGCAGTTTGGCACCTTACGTCACATCATTTTACCGAAGTCAGCCCTATAGCTTCGGCGCATTGCCGATTACTGACGTTTGTCAACAAAATGGTGCTTGACTCTTGGGACAGGCTAAATTACACCATATTGTTAATGACATTGAGCATACATTTTTTTAAATACCTTCGCGAAGTAAAACTTCTGTACGTAGTACTTATTATTATTCTGTGGTATTAGGAATAAGAGCAACTTTGCTAGAAAACAACCGCGCGTCCAAGCACCTGGTGCCGCACTTCCTGCAGGCCGCGCCGCAGGGGCTCAAGCTGCGCGTCATGTCTGCGGCCTACATGCACCATCTGAAGGAGGTACGTACAGAGCAATATGTGTCATCTTAGTATTAGGAATAAGAGCGACTTTGCTAGAAAACAACCGCACGTCAAAGCACCTGGTGCCGCACTTCTTGCAGGCCGCGCCGCAGGGGCTCAAGCTGCGCGTCATGTCTGCGGCCTACATGCACCATCTGAAGGAGGTACGTACAGAGTAATATGTGTCATCTTAGTAAGTAGAATAAGGGCGACTTTGCTTCAAGAACCTGGTGACTGCGCGTCATGACCGCGGCCTATACACGTGCACCATCATAAATAAGGAGGTACGTATGACGTATTACAGCACGTTAAGGTATATATATGTAGGTCATATCATCATAAGAGACGTCTGGACACTGCAGCACTGGCTCAGCTGTGCATCATACTCTGTATTAACTACAACCCGTGCTATGATTACATTAATAGGTGCAGTAGGCATATCATCTTATCTGTTAGAAAAATACCGTGATACTTACTTTTAAGTGTCAACGTACCATTCCAAGAGCATAATAATATCTTACTGACGGGATCATATATAATATCGTTTCACCTCCGCTTTATTTATCGTCATAATTGAGACAAGCCATTAAAATTAAACTGAGAAGTTCATTCACACTAATAATATTATTGGATAGTAAATGGAGATGCTCGTTTGTTTGTCCAGGCAGGTTGAAATGCAGCCAACTGGACGCAGCTGCCGCGTCTCACCGCAGCGTACGGTTGATGGAAATAGAACATCATGAAAAACTCATTAATAGATGTTTCTTTAAAAAATTTCATAGGCCTGAGACATGAGATTAAATAACGAATTTTTTGAAAATTCTGACTCCTAAACCTTAATTTTGACATTTTTGCAAGTAGACTTTTAAAAGCACTTTCCTGTAATCCAGTCCAATGGAATCCTGTTCTAAAATAAAGATTGTACTGGGATTCATTGACAGGTCTAAAAATTCTAGACTTCTTTAGAAAACTTACCAATCCACGATTCCATATTTTAGGGGTTGGATTCAAAATATAGATAGAATTACACGAAAATAACTAAACTTGATTAAAGAACTCTGAACCCTGGCACGTTTACAAGTTACAACCCTAGTACTAAATAAGACAGAGCTTTTTCAGTATTCAGTTATCAAACACCATTTAACTGACAAAATCAGTCGTCAATCATGGCATGCCTAGAAAGTGATGTCGTCTCATAAAACGACACGCATTGTCGTCGTAAATCAGGCAATGTCAAACGGCGTACCATTAATTAAACAGGCAAATTATGTAATTACCGCGGCGATTAGTCTGTAGCATCCATTCCGTCCATTCATGTGTCGCCAGTCTTAGCAGATGGCCCTCGGCAGACGGATGGCACGCAGCTCGGGTATAATTTAAATTGGAAGAGTAGACTCACTCACGATTGCCACTCACCAATAAAATCCCCCAGTGTGTAGATATCGGACAGCCTATTCAAGATTCATGTAACGCTGTACTATTGCGGTGAAGACACTCCTAAACATGAGCATATACCTAATAATTAATACGGTCTACTTAGCTAACTCGGATAATTATTAGACAGTCATGTAACAAACTATATGTTACGGCTAATTACCTTTTAGAGTTTTAATGATAAAATCCTTTTCCCTCTTGTGGAAAGTGAAGAATTTACAAAATTATTTAAAAGTAGGTAAGTAACTAAAACTAACTGAAAATTTCAGTAATTTATGTGACTATGGAATCTATGGAATATGGACATGGACTAGAGTATTACTTACGCTAACAGTATATTTTCACTAATTTATGATTTAATTATGACGTTTTAAAACAATAGTGTGCGAATTTCATTTAAGCTGCACATTTTTATTTTACTATTATACGCCTACTGAAAATTCTCTCATTGTGCAATAGTTTAGTACCAGGTGCCACAGCTCTGTCCGATTTAAATTTCACGTCAAAAGACAAGATTGTTTTGTATGTTATTGTATTACTTAAAAATTGTTATTTTACGTGTAAGTATGTAGATATTTGGAAAATTCTCACAATCTTCAGTGAACAATTGGGATAAATTACAATCTTCAAAAATAAACCCACTGTTTTAATCTTACTCATTAATTTATAAGGCAGGATACAGCTGTCAAACATGCCATAGCTAGACTAGCTGTCATACACTGTTTGAGAAAAGCATTTCATTCAGTCATTACTCTGACTAAAATAAGAACAGCTAAGCAGCGCGCTCCAAATTTTCAGTGTTTTTTCAGTGTCAAAATTGAGGTCATTGTAACCACATGAAACAATATTTCAGAATCCTGTATTCGAAGAATGCGAGCCGGCGTTCCTGCGGCAACTGGTGGGGTGTCTGAAACTCTACACGTACAACGAAGGTATTTCAGATCTTTCATCTGTTGTTGACGGTTGTCAAGTGTTAAATGAGCCATCACTTTTCTTAATTAGAAGTGAAATATTTATTTATTATGACCTATATTAATTTATGATGTATTTAGAGAACAATGAGGATTTGCATTCTTTTTGAAGCAATAAGTTCTACTTTCACTATCGGTTCATTTAGGTTTACTGTGTAATTTTAAATCAAAGTGATTCACGAACAAGATTGAAGGCCTGGCCTCAGAGAGTTCTTATAGAAGTATCCGTTTCAAGGTATGTACGTGGTGAAGGAGTCTGAGATTACGGACTCTATGTACATGATCCACACAGGGCGGGTAATGGAGACAAGCGCAGCTTCTGGGGACCTCAAGACCGTTACGGATTGCTTCGGACTGGTAATCACTATTACTGAAAACTTTTATAATAAGAGACGTAGTTTATCTTGGAATTCAAGTGCACTGAATTCACAAAAACAGTTTCCCTCATACCAATAAGGCTAGTGTAAGAAATATGATGCATTTATAACAATTTAATTAAAATGCAACTGCAGAAATGTTTCTCCTTTCAGGAACAAGGGCTAATCTACAATTACCCGTTTAAATATTCTTACAAAACCATCATTAAGTCTCAAGTGTTAACTCTTTCACTCAATGACTGGGAGTATCTCCTGGACCACTTCCCAGAGAGCAAAGGGTTCATCTACAAATATCTCAAAAAAGATGACGATGACTCGCAAAGGCCCGGAAGGACTAATTTAGGATCCATGAGATCAAGCTCATTGTCTGGTTCCTATCGAACAAGTTATAAAGGCCCGCTGCCACCATCGGCGCATAGATCTTCTACAAGAATTAGTAGGTTGTCCTCCCAGCCACCACCACCACCATCCCCACCACCATCACCATCACCACTGCCCTCATCTCCACCGACCGATTATAAATTTTCACCTATGGCTGGTCCACCATCAGGCCCAACGACACCATTAGTGAAAACTGATATACCGCTCGCAGAAATGGCTCCGACCGCCACCGAAACGAATCACGATCTATCACCAATGTCGTCTACCTCTGCCGCCGCCGGTGGTCTCAGTCCGACAGTTACGACCGATCCGGAAATTAGTACCTCGCCTCAACAAGCACCTGATATAGCCCAATCCAAGACCGATATGCTATCAAGGACAACAACAATGACAACACTCAAAATAGGTCTATCAGATACTTCTGTATCACATTCATCTCTAGATGAAAAGCCTACAGGTCCTCAACCTGCTTCGAGACCATCTAGTGATGTAGGCACCATTCGGGCCCAAGTATCATCCTTACAAGTTTCGCCTGAAAAAACATCACCAGATACCAAGCCCGTGGTTACTGAACCTTTGATACAGACACAGGTAGACCTACCAGGATCATTAACAGAGCCAATCGTGGCGCACCCGTATTCTAATATTTCCCTTAAAATTACTGAGTTACCTCCATCAACATCTAAAATAACAACTCCACCAGCCAGTACGTCTAAAATAACGACTCCACCTGCCAGCACGTCTAAAATAACGACTCCACCCGCCAGCACGTCTAAAGCAGGCTTAAGGTCAACTTCGTCCCGTGGTATGCTGATAAGCGAACCCATTGATGACGATGCAGACAACGAATTAAAACCTGAGGAGATGCAATTCATATGGCCTATGGATAGTAGGCATTCGGCAGCAATGATTAAATTTGCACCACCCAAAGACTTAAATGAAAGTCCAGAAAGGAATGACATCGATAGAACAAAATCTTTAAGATCAGTACAGTCGCAGCAGTCGAGTCTAATAGACAGCGGAATCAAACGAGGACCAAGAGATGTCGATGACGCGTTACAAGATTCTATGACTTTAATAGACAAAGTAGAGAAAAAAGCAAAAAAGCTGTTTCTGCGTAGAAAGGATAGTGAACTGGATTACGTGGACAGCGACGAATCCAGAGACAAAGATACATTACTTTTAGAGGAGGATGAAGAGGCAACGGCGGATTTACTTGCACAAATTAAAAAACGTAGTCATAGTAAAGATGGATCCGCAGACCCAGATATGACTGAGATTGTGGCAGTTGATGAGGCACAGGCGGTTGATGTAAAATCAGAAGTGTTTGAACTGAAACCTCAAACTATAAGGATTCAGGAGCCCCCGGGCGCCACAGACGACACATTGGCGGTCGTCCCTTATGACAGTAAAGCTGCGGCCTCGTCATCGAAACATTTGGAGCTCGGTGAACAGGAAACACCGTCTACAGTCGCAAGAAAGAAATCTGTTCATTACAAAGAAGAAAGCCATGTGATCTCTGACAGTGATGAACATAGTCCTTCCGAACATAGCTTAGATATGGATAAACCTAAAGATTATAAATCTAAAAACAAAAAATAATATTTTGAATGTACACGATTCATAGCTTTTTGTTTTATGTAGTTGATAGATATTATTAATACAGAAAGTTCTATTAGTGGACGTTAGGTGGTGAGTAACCGAATATTAATTGATTGTTATTTAGAATAACTTAATTTATTACATTAAATAGTTTTAATATTTAAAATAGTATTCTCATTTTCTCTGGTCAACGGTCTGAAAGTGTTTAAGTTAGGTATATGAATTGTAGCTAAAATTGTCTAGAGCAAAAGTTAATCCAACACCTTGTAGTACATTAATCTCAAACGCCTCATGCGTCACCGCCCTAGAACAGCTCATTCACAGATGGGGTTATCTGCCGTGCATTCATCAATATACCGCTCCTGGCCTCCTGCCAGGCTACAAGTATTCCAAGTATCCTACTCCAGTAACCGCGACGGATTTAACACGCCCGCTATTCATATCTCACGATTTTCTTAAATCGAGCATCGCGCCCGATGCATCAATGGTCGTGTGCCAAATACTCCTAATTGAAAGTCGTCAACATTTCTTTCAAATCCGATTGTTTTGCTCACTTTTTGACTCCGGCCCAACTTCTATTTTTGTTTCCTCGCACATATTATTTGTGTGTTGTTTTTTAATTCGTTTGTTTTAATTGCGTCGGCGCTTTAAATACCATTTGTTTGTAAATAAGGTGTTTTCTCATTTTAACGACTATTAGTAAATTTACTTGACTCATTGTTAAAATGAATGTAACAGCAGTCTTCTAAAAAACTTTATTAAAAACGCTTAATAATCTTAACAACGATAAATTCTTAATAGAGATGATCAGCACCAAACAGCAAAATATTGCCAATGGTCAACCTCGTTGGTATTAGATACGACATTCTATTTAGTTGTCTTTCACTTACATTTTTAGTTAAGAGTTTAATTAAATTGGAATGCCCAGCACTGAATAGTTAAAATTTGGCGTATGATGTTGATGTCTAAAAGTCGCTCGCAGGTCTTCAGCATGACGAGGATTGTGGTTCTTAGTATACTTAAATGCGTGGGTATATTACATGGCTTACTTATCACTAACTTAGTTACTAAGGTTACGGTTTCTTAATTTAATGTTTTTTGTGGCATTTCATCTGGCCGCCTCCTGGATCACATGGTAGGTGGACTCTCCCGTCGATTCTGTAACAAGAAACAATTTATATTACTAATCAGATCCTATAGTCAGATCCTACTAGAAATAGGTATTGCACTCTATTCTGTGCCTGTACACAATGTATTTAATACTCGTTAGAGAAATCGACATTGACAAAGTCGTAAACAGCTGGAGTTTTGTACGAATTTTATTATTTTAGAAACAGGCTTGGTGTCGCGCAGCGTTTTGTAGAAATGTTCTCGAGTTAATTAGAAGTTACGGACTTTCCACTATAAATAAGATAAGAAAAACAAAATTTAACGAGTCACGAGGATATATTTATTTGCTCTAAATAAAACCTTTAAAATGGGACTTTTGAAATTATTAAACCGACAATCTCACAAAAATAATAAAACGACACCGCCAACTATTTACAGCGGCATAAAATCCGGAAACATCACGATATTTGACGTCAATTTGGATTCCTGGCTAATTTATATTTGTGTGAACATGAAAATAACATAGAAAAATGTTTATGATGCGAAGTTGTCGCAATAATCGTTATTTACGCGTCCGTGGCCGCAGCGACCGCAGAGTCCGGGCATCGCGGACAACGGAATATGACGCTTTGCTCCATTGGAAATAGAAGCTTTCAGTTTATGATTAATGCCATCATGAGATAACATCAAGAAATAAAACGCGATGTTGCATACAATGATCAATGCCAACTCTATTCTTAATCAAATGTACCTACGCACTACGCAGCTTCCAATATTTTCCAGACATCGAGCGGGTTATGAGCAAGTTGACCAAACTTGAGAAAATATTACATTCTTTAAATCAACTGAATTTCAGTTTAATTATTCAATCTCGTCAACATTTGCTAAGGATTCCAAAATTCCTTTTTGATTTTGAGCGTTTGAAGCAAAGAATCTAAGAACGGTAATTACAGATTTTATTTGCTACTAAATCAAACACTTTTCGCCAAGGTTCGCCATAAAACTTTGCTATTCTCGATATCAAAGAGACTTTTTACGACACCTGTAAATAAGCACATTCCGCGGTAGGCGTAGACCTGAATGTTTCGGGCGTCTACGTGCCATTTGACACCGAGGCGTTTCAAAAATAATGAAACAAGTTTATTTGTTTTTTTCAGCCAGTATTTTCACACCTATCCGCCACGTCGAAATCTCTCGAATGATTTATTTGAGCTGTCACCGTCAATTTTTTTCTCGCAGTCGGAATTAGTCTCCGAAATTGATGTGTGCGCGACGTTTGAGTGTTTTTAGCGTGCATCATTGTCAGTTAGAACTAAAAATTCTTTCTGCATCTCCCTTGGGAGGTGCCCAAGTGAGTGGGAGGTTAATGCTGACTCCTACACTCGTCCGAAGTGCTCATAAAGTCCCTGTGATATACGGTTAATGATAACTTGATGTCTCGGCTAGTCACGGAGCTATTCACGAAATATCTTTATACGAAATTCTTTGATGACATTCAAATCAGCTTTTCGGTTCGAAAACTATTTTGTTTAAAATCTATCACAATTCACGTTTCGTGCATTCCGACTACGCTTTATGATTGCATTAAATAACGATGAGTTGAACATCCTACGCAGCAACGTTAACGTTTCAACTACTTCTTCAATTTATTTTGTAACTAATTACAGTCTAATAAAATCGCGAATGGAGTAAATGAGACTGTCATTGGATTGGTATTGGTACTATTGAAATATGGGCGTAAATAAAATATATTTCTTTTTAAACTGAATTAGGTATATTTCATCAATTAGGTATAACACTAGAAGCTATTACGCCCGTCTATAGAATCAGTTGACAATAAGATGACGGTCATAAAAACATAAAGAAGAAGAGTATGCTCTATGGAAGCTATCCACGGAGTTCCTTATAAACAGTAAATTAATTTTTGCACTTCAAATCAATTACATTCAACACGCCCCCTCAAAAATTAATTCTTACCTTTATCTGGTAACTATAGCATACATTCATTTACAATATATCATGTACATTTGATAAATAAATATGTTAATTACTAAACGGAACGTAATAAACTTCGTAGTGTATTCTGGGAGAAATTACACAATCATGGTCCAACATTTGTTGCTGAGGATTAGGGAAAACCCAGAAAAACCTAATCAGACCACTTCATTAAATAACTAACTCATGTATCAACTAACAAAGTATCAACAAAACAAAAATTGAAACAATAAATAAAATTAAATAAAATATTAAATGTCTACTCCAAACCAATTTCACTTCTTAAAATTTTAAAGCTGACAGCTGGCAACGGTTTCGTCAGCACATCCGCCAGCTGCTGACCTGTAGGAACATACACCAATTTAATTATATTATTCTCTATTTGTTCCCTTGAAAAATGGTATTTTATGTCTATATGCTTTGTCCTTTTGTGATTAGTAGGGTTATTGGCAATGCTAATGCAGCCATTATTGTCTTCAAAAATTACTATGGGGTTTGCAATATTTATATCAATGCTTTGAGAAAGAGACTTCAGCCATAGTGCTTCACGAACACCTTCATACAGTGCCATGTATTCGGCTTCTGTAGATGAGGCCGCCACAGATGATTGCCTCTTTGTACACCAAGTTATTGTACACTGATCGAACAGTTTAAATAAATATCCTGTAGTGCTTCGTCTGTCATTCGTATCACTACCACCCCAATCAGAGTCTACATATCCACACAAAATATTTGCATATTTACACCGTTTGTAGGTTAGTTTCAAATCAACCGTTCCTTTTAAGTACCTAAGAACTCGCTTTAAACATTGCCATAACTCTTTGTTATTCTTGTTTGTGTACCTGCTTAATATGTTGACACTTGTACTTAAATCTGGCCGAGTGCAAATCATTATGTACATCAAACATCCTATAACATTTCGGCATGGTGCATTACATTTCTCGTCTGAATTCAAAGCTTGATAATTTAGTTTACTTTCAAGAGGTGTACTGACTGGATTACAATCCTGCATATTAAATTTATTTAGAACTTTATTTATATAAACACTTTGATCCAGTGTTATTTTGTCAGTATCCCTAGTAACTTTAATACCAAGAAATAACTTAATTTCATTCAAATCTGTCATTTTAAATTTGCTACTCAAATAGTTTTTAAAATTGTTCATTGTTAGAATATCTGCGCAACAGATGGCTAAGTCATCTACATAAAGCACCACATATATATTTTTATTTATATCACCTTTATTTAAAATGTATATATGTTACTGTAAAAGCTCGAATTGCAGTAAATCCTAAGATATTCCAGTAAAACCTAAGATCTACCAATTCCTAATGGTAAATGTCCCAAAAGGTTTGCGATTCGAACTCTTACAACCATTTCGTTGGTAAATCTTAGTATTTACATTAATGGCACGGTAAATGTTGAAAAACAAAACAAGCATTTTTGACAGGTAACAATCGGTCTTATCTACGCATTACACGAGCGCAGCCTTTTTGTATTGTTATTTTTTTTTATCCACAACGAGGAAGCTCTTGGCCTGTATCTCACCTGATGGTAATGTAAGAACAATTTAAGAACTAAAAAGAAAGACCACGGCATCACTTTTCATTTCAATACAATTAAACAAACCATGATGTCACTGCCTTGTTTTTTCTTTAGCAACTTAAAATCATTTAATTTTTTTATAAAATACTAGCTTTTGCCCGCGGCTTCACCCGCGTGTTTAATTTGTCACAGATCGCCATAAATTATTATAGCCTATAAGTTATTCTGGGTTATAAACAATAATACTGTAAAGTTTCATCAAAATCAGTTAAGTAGTTTTTGCTTGAAAAAGTAACAAACATCCACACAAATTTTCGCGTTTATAATATTAGTAGGATGCATGCAGTACAAAATTTCAGTGTCCTAGATGCTGGGTTATTATAATTCAGATTTTTTTCATTCATGGACGAAATAACAAAAATGATAATACCATGGACTCCATAGTATTATCATTTTTGTTATAATCTTACTAATTAAAAGTTCTGTAGGTAAACTTTTACGAAAACAGCATTGTTGGTAATGAGTCAGAAGGAATAAAAAAAGGAAACAGTAAAAATGTGAACACCAAAACACAAGAAAAAGAAATGATTGCAAATAATTTAAATAAGTTGGTATTAGTTTGTACTTATTACTATCATATGATACCTTTATAATACTATGTACCTGTTTTGTCTAATAGTTGATTTAAGTTAGTTAGTAGTTGTTTTATTCCTAAAACCAACATCTACCAGCTGACAGAGGTAAAACCTAGCATATACTGAATTCGAATGGTAAAAGCTCGAAAAAATCGTTGTATTTTCAGAAATACTTACATTTACCAACTCATGTCGGTAAATCCTAAGACTTACACTTAAATCTTAAGAATAACCGTAGTTCGAGCTTTTACAGTAACATATACATCTATCAACAGATGAATTTTGAAAACCGTTTTCTTTAAGTGATTGCTCAAAAACTTCGAACCAGCACCTAGCTGCCTGTTTTAGTCCGTATAACGCTTTGTTTAGTTTGCAAACTTCATGTTGCTTACTAATTACCCCTTCCGGAACTTTCATGAAAATTTCTTCTTTTAGAATACCATTTAGAAATGCAGTTTTAACATCCATATGATGAATTAATAAATTGAACTGATTAGCAAAACTAATTAAAAATCTAAAACTGGCTATTCTTGCAACAGGTGCAAAAGTCTCATTGTAATCTGTAAGATACTCTTGACTAAACCCTCTAGCAACAAGCCTAGCTTTATATCGAATAGGTTTTCCAAATTCATCGCATTTTATTGTAAAAATCCATTTACAATCAACAATATTTTTATTTTCAGGTCTTGGTACTAAAGTCCAAGTATTGTTTTCAGCAAGAGAATCTAATTCATCTTTTATCGCGGCTTCCCAATTGGATCTGTCATCGCGCGTTTTAATCTCGTCGTAAGATGTTGGCACTTTACATAAAAATGACTGAGCACACAATAAACAGTCATTGTCACTTTCATTATACGAAATAGGGGTACGACC